TTCCCAGCAGTATTCTCAATAAATGTGAAAAATTGTGCCGCACAATATGTACAATAATATATATATAGGTATACAATTATTTTAATTAATAATAACTAATTATTAATTAACTTTATCGGACTAAATTTATGCCTAAAACCTTCTCTATGATGTCCTCTTTAGTTTAAAAAAAATTGCACGACGATTGAATAAGTTGTTTCGGAGTTTATCCCGAACAAAAAAAAAGCGACTTCAATTTATATAGTAGTATAGATTAACATTATATTGTTGGCTTTTTTCCCTACATTCCTATAATTCATAGTGAGGATTGGTGGAAAATGTACAAACATAATTCTATGTAAACTACACGAATTATCTACGTATAGTTCGCTATTACAGTATTATACGTGTATATCTAAACCTAACGTAGTAGTTAGTAGTTAAGTTACTTACGTATATATTTATACGAAACATAAATCAAGGATGGATCGAGGAGGGGGGTGGTCATTACTCCCTTCGAAAAGTTTTCCTTCATTATATTTTGATAAATCAAGTTTTATATTCACATCGTATACCATGCAGAATAAAATAAAATTGAATCTCATCAAAAGTAATTTATTCGGTAATAATGGTAATAGCACTGTACTGATAATATGCGCTCTTTCTAGAAAATTGTTATAATTTATAAACAAAACCCGTCCCGAAAAAAAGTCCCGCGTACGCTACTGTGAAAATGTACACCCCCTGCCCTTCACCATCAATAATTTCTAGCGCCGGCCAAGTGCACAAACCGAGTTGGGACCTCATTCACTCAATTTGGAGCAAAAAATAAAAATGTACAGTCCTCTTGTATTACTTAATAATTCCTTGGGTCCTAAATGTCATGATGGGCCCGTCGCCTGTTGTCCATCATGCCACTCTATCGGTACGCCACTGCGCTGGTGGTCTATACATTGGTGTTGTTGAACAGGGGACGGAAGAAAATATGAAAAACCGATTTAAAATGTTAACATCGTCTTAAGTTTTCGCGGAAATGATGAGGACATGGTCGTAAGTTCTATGAATCCATGCCCTAGGGAAATACGGTAAAAAGAACATGATGGAATTATATATGTCGATTGTACTTAAAAAAAACTTCAACATCTATCAGAGCTAACTTAGGTACTATCTATAATTGCGGGCTTCCAAACCGACTGGTTCATTAACCGGGCTGAGAGGACTAGACACACGGGCGGTATGAGTACCACGTTAAGTTTAAGTTAGTCAAGTTAAGTTTAGCTAAACTTCTTATGTTTTAATGGGTGCAGTAGGATACTTTCCCGAGCATCCATCGACGTGTGTATTATTTGTAAATTGTAAATCATATTGTACTTATATTATGTCTGCTGTTGTCTATTCTCAGTAAACAATGGCAGCAGTAAAGAAGTATTATGAAACAGACTACTGCGGTCGGTTAGACAAAAAACTTACCGATTAAACTTAATAAATTACACACATCATTATTTTTTAATTATTTTTTTCGGACTTTATCCCGAATTTCATGATGAATCAATTTTTCAAACTTTAGTTACGCACAGTATGCGTTAGATTTTTGTTTTTTCTATAGTTGTGCAATGTGCAGTTTACGTGTCTATAGATCGTCGTTATCAATTAGGATTATACAATATTATTGTTCATAAAACATGTCGGAGCACTGATAAACAGCTGATTGGTTTTGTAGGACCTTGACCACACCCATTCTCATTTATTTACCGTTTAGACGATAAGTTTAGTCGCTCTCGTATCATCTATTCCTTGGTTGGTCTCAGATTTCTTACCTACTGACAAGTGCAAATACTTTAAAAGAAAGTTTCATTTTTAAAAAAAATTTAATCACTCATTATGGCAAGCCAAACACAGGGAATTCAACAACTATTAGCAGCTGAAAAAAGAGCTGCCGAAAAAGTCGCTGAAGCAAAAAAACGTAAGTAGTCGATAATTTAAGGTGTGGCTGGTAAACTGGCTGATGATATCTTAAATTCATTAAAACTCTTAAACTTACTCTAATATAATTATGATTTTCTTCTATACATCCATTAGATACCTTTGGGTTACACCAATGGAAAAAAAAAATAATATCTATCGAATTAGATACCCAACAAGCGATGTTCGGCAAATGCCACACCTTGTTGATTTAAAAAAAGTTTTTCAATTTATATTAATATTTGTTAATATACAAGTATAGTTTTTAATTGTTTGAAATAGTGATTTTAATATGATTAAAATACTAGTGGTGTGTCCATTTTAAATGAAAGCAATATTCATTTTAATGTACATTTTATTTATAGGCAAAGCAAGACGATTAAAGCAGGCTAAAGAAGAAGCTCAAGATGAAATTGAAAAGTATAGACAAGAACGAGAAAAGCAATTCAAAGAATTTGAAATTAAGGTAAAACTTTAGTTGTGGTAACATCAAAATGTTTTCGCCTAAATCATATTTTGGTTCAGTTCTAACTCAAATAATAAAAAAAAAAAACGATTCTCTAAAGTAAAATCTCCATTCATAGCCATCTTAAGAATTCTTCACTACTTAATTTAATCTATTGACTGTTATTGAAAAAGAATCCAAAACTATTTTTTTGTCAAATAATATTTGTATACTATATTTAGGAAGCTAGATAAAGGTACAAGTAGCATTAAGCTAATAAAGATAAGAATAATATTGCGATAACAATATACTGTGGGATAATATTATTTACCCGCTTGTGTGGTAGATTGTTGATTAATGTAGATAAATATAACAATAACCATTATGGCTCATCAGATTAAGACAGTTCATTATTTATAAATAAATGGGCATAATAAGAATCTGGGATATTGGTCATAACTCTACTCTAGAATAATTTATTGTAAATAACAAATGTATGGTTATGTACTTATGTATAAATGTAATAACCCAGGCATAGTTAATAATACTAAGCTGATATGATTTTTTGATATTTTTGTTCTTATAATAATTTAAGTGGAAGTTGTAATTGATTTGTGTTAATTTTCAAAAATTTCAGTTTTGATATGAAAGAAATACAATTTTTATGCGTATTTAAGTATTAATATATCAATAAGATGGCTTATCTGTATATTATAAAATCAATGGTTGTACCGTACTTTTGTTTTAAATTTTAGCATATGGGTTCTCGCGAAGATGTTGCTGCAAGAATAGATGCTGACACTAAAGTAAAGATTGAAGAGATGAACAAGGCTGTATCTGTTCACAAACTGGCTGTTATTGAAAAAATTCTTGAACTTGTCTATGACATCAAGCCCGAGTTGCACAAAAATTTCAAAGCTACTGCCAACAAAGAATAATGTGTGTGTCATAGTATTTTCTTTTTTCATTTCCATACAATAAGAAAATATAATCATGTACAAATTTAATTTTGGTTTTAGTTTTCGTTTCACTGAAACATTCCGTCTGTTGTTCAATTTATAGTGTATTATTTTCAAGATTATTTATTTATTTAGGATTGCAATATTAAGCTGTTACAAACATATTTTGTTGTTTTCAGAAGTCTAAAAATTGATTAAATCTATCTTAACTATTGTTTTATGTTAAACTAATTCAAAGTGTTTTTATTTTCATTCAGATTATTAAGTCTGTGTGGATAAAATCCATAGAAGTTTTGGCTGCAAAACATGTTTAATCCATAAATATTTTCTTTGTAGAGTTCAATGATTATTTCCTTAATTTGTTTATTCTAAATTAAAATACCAAATCAATATAAATAAATGCCTATATATTTAAATCTAGTACTGCTACTTCAGTTTGATACTATAATACTAATAAAACTGAAATAATTAGTTACCAAAGTACCAATTCAATATTTATTAGAAATGCATTTATGCTTTACTTAAATTAATATTAAATTAAAAAAAAAAAAGTTGTGTAGTTTAAGAGATTAATATTATATTTACATTTGTATTATAATACTGTTGAAATAATTGTTTATTATGGATATTCAAAATTATAATAAAGTACTTATTACAATGGGAAATGATTCCCAAGGTATATCATAAATACTGTAGTATGAATATAAATTTATTTTATTTAAAATAAAATATATCCCAATTTTTTAAGTTCGACTTTTTAATATAAAATAAAAACATAATATAAAAATAGGCACTAGTAAGTTGTTTTTCATTTTAGTCTTATTTTTTTTTACATTCAATAAAAAATTAAACTGTATGAATAATATGACAATTGACAATGCCTTTAATAGGGAGAAATTTTATTGAGATAAAGTTGTGTTATTGTTCAATAATAATTTAAATTAAATTAATATTTTTATTATAATTATGGATAAGTAATGAATATATAAAATATAGCTTAAATGGGGCCTTCGATAATGGACAAAATGAGAGAAAATAGACATGGTTTGGATATTTCATGGTAACAAGAGAATCTGAAGCAGTAAGAATTGTAATATTTTCATTTTAGAATAAATGTTTGAAAATGAAAATCAATTATTTAACCAATTGCAATAGAAAGTTATGAAGTAAAAAAATTTGTTTAAATTTAGATATAATAGGAAAGATGGAGGGGGAAGAAAACTGTAGTTTGATGCAATAGAAAATGATATAAAGTAAGCCAGTATGTGACGTGGGAGCAGTAGCAGATTTTCAATATTTTTTTGGGAGGGGTCCTGAAAAATCAATTATTTTAAAGGTTTCTTTATTAAAAAGATACCCCCTTTTTGGACAATATTTTATTGAAATTATATCTGTACTTGAGGGGGTCCAGACTCTCTGGACCTCCCCCCACAACCCGTAAATTCATTACTTTGTGGGAGATCGGGTAAAGTGGAAGTTTGTAGAACAAGGGTTGCCGACCTCAAATAGTTGAGATGAAGGTGAAGGAGAAAAAGAATACTTAGTTTATAATTAGTTCACCAAATGTTATAACAAAGTGTTTAAAATTGCAAAAAAGAAAAATTAAAATGAATAATGTAAAAAATCAAAATTGAAATTGATTGTACCCATATTGTAAGATAATGTAAATGTATCATAGGTACTATTTTGTTTTACCCACTTTAAAAAAAAAAAGATTTAGTGTTATGGTCATTAAAAGTATAATATGTTTCAAATATAAATAAATATTACAATCATTAATGACTAAACCCAGGATAAATTTTGAAGGGAAATTCAGAAAGCTTTCAAATATCTACCTAGAGTGAAGATGTTAATTTGAAGCGAAGATACTTATTTTAAGTGAGCATTGAAATTAAAATTCGGAAATTTCAATCTCGAATAAAGGACAATATTATCAGTGTCTCGTATTGGAATAAAGAATCCGATATTTGTCCTATAAGTTAAATTATAACTAATCTCTGAAAATTGAGATACTTCAAACGTTAGGTGCTTAGATACTTATATTGTATTACAAAAAAATATAGGTACCAGGTACCTACCTGCCCAATTACGACTGTATAAATGAAAGTAGACAAATTTAATGATAGTTGTATTCAACAGTAATGTTAATCTATAAAATTTAAATGCTAAGTATTTTCGTTTTAAAATTTTGAAAGAATTTTTTATACTTCTAAGGGTGAATCTTAACTAAAAAATACTAAGGTATATTATAATAATTTATGGATTCTCTACTTTCTATTCCCATTACCTAACATATAAAATTATTCATAAAACGTATTATGAACCTTATCACTAAGTATACAATTCTACATCGTATATTCAATAGAAATAATATATACTTGTATAATATTATATCTATGATGTATTCATCCCATTAATTATTATGGTGGTCGTGTATTAAAATTTAAATCATGTCAGAATTTATATATTTCTCATATTAAATTCCTATAATTATTGATTGTGTTAACATAGCTGTTTGTCATTTGATAATAATGAGATAACAAAAAAATAAAAGTATTGTAATTATTGATTTTGAAGTCCAGAACAAAACAAAAATTATTAATATTTAGACTGTGATAAGTTTTGGTATATGTTATTGTAAATAGGTATTAAAATTTTATACAATGGGTAAGTTTTATAATAATTTTGTTAACATATTTACAATTAGTATTAATAATATTAGGTACTAATTTTAATATTCTATTGATTTTTAGACACTAGCACTCAAATCAATAATGAAATTGATGTCAATCAATGGAATGATTTGCTATTGGATGTACAAAATAAAAGCAGAAAAAAGTTGCCTGAAAACAAAAATGTATTGTTATTGGGCGATAGTAAATCAGGCAAAACAACATTGGTGACCAAGCTACAAGGCCTCAAAGATTCAAAACAGGGATGGGGCATGGAGTATGGGTACATACAGGTTAGAAAATGTCCAAATTTAAGTTTAATTTTTATAAATATATTGTATTTTGGTTAATAGGTACGTGATGATAGCACTGATGAAAATGCCCAGTTAAACGTTTGGACTTTGGATGGTGATCGATCACTGAAATATTTGATGAAGTTTGCATTAAATGAGCAAAACTTTGAGGATACCACAATAATTTTAGTTGCTTCCATAAAGAACCCATGGAAAATTATGGAATCTCTAGAATTTTGGTCAGCAAGACTTCAGGATCATATAGATTGCTTGAATTTAGGCATGGAGCAAACTCAAAATCTCAGAGATAAATGTGTTGATAGAATCATTGATTACTCACCACCTGATAGTAAATATCGCACAAGTTTAAACTTTTTTTGTATTTTAATAACATAATTCATTCAAATTCAAATTTATATTAGAGTAAATATGTGTAATATTTCATTAAAAATGTTACTCTATTCAATTAAAAACATTGGCAATCATCAGATATGAAAATTTACTAAAAGTTCAATTTTTGTGAATTTTGGGTTTTCTAAATTATTAAATATAAAATAAATATTGTATCATTACATATAATATATAAATTTGACAGTACTAGTTGTTAAATATTATTATTTGTATTTTTATAAAATGTTTCTAATTTTTTTTAGATTTGTCATATGAATCGAGTCAAAAGGTCCGACTTCTCAATGAAGGGGTATTGACAAAAAATCTTGGTTTGGATGTTGTTGTTGTTATAACCATGACTGATTGCATCAAGAACTTAGAAATTGACAATTATTCCGAAGAACATTTTGATTATATTCAATGTTGTTTACGAAAATTTTGTCTACAATTTGGCGCTGCTTTATTTTATGTTTCTGTAATGGAAGACAAAAATTGTGATCTACTATATAAATATTTAATGCATAGGTAAAATAAATGATATTTAATAAAATATTAAATCTCATTTACCATTTCTATTAACTTTTGAATGATACTCAGAAAAATATTTTCTAAATGTTTGATCATTGTGAAATTTGTAATAACTAGTTTCAATAATTAGTATAACAATAAAAAAAATATTTTAAATTTATTTTTTTTTAGGTATTTATATTAATTTTTTTTTCCCCCAGAATTTACCGCTTTCCATTTAAGACACCGGCATTAATTGTGGAAAAGGATTCTGTATTTGTTCCTTCTGGCTGGGACAGTATGAAAAAAATTGAAGTGCTCTATGAAAACATGCAAAAAATTGATCCTGAAACACATTACAGTGATGCTATTCCATTTCCATATGAAAAACAGCATAAAGAACATGAACTCCAAGATGAAGAAGAACAAGTATTTTTGGCCAGACAGCTCGTGTTGTTGAATCAAAATATAGCTCAGCCACAAACACCAGTTGTTAGAAAGTCAATTGAATTGACAAAACCATTATCGGCTAATAAACGAATTTCAGACAATCCTCCACCTAGCAGTGAACGAGCTTTGGCTAGCTTTTTCAATGCACTTTTGCAAAAAAAACAAGAATCTCCAACGGCAAGAACTCCATCAAAAAAACCAGTCGAAAATGCAGGCTCACAACAATCAGACCAGACTGATAGTGATTCCAATACTCCAAAATAAAAATTTCTAATCTCTAATATTATGCATGCCAAATTTAGATATATTTGTATATCGTAATATAAATCAAATAAAACTTGTCTAATTATATTTAATTAATACTTTTGTTCTTATAATTTGTATTGTTCATAATATTTATATAAGTTGTTAGACATAATTACTATATACAATTAATAAGACAATTAATTTAAAAGTTGATTAAAGCTTTAGTTTTAAAAATAAAAACAAATGTCTAGTTCATAAGTTTAAAACAGTATTAAACTTAATCACAAATAATTGTATTTACAAGTATTGATATAATAGTCATGGATTTAGTCAAAAAATTAGTATATATATTTGTTGTGAACGTTATCAAAATTAATGGGTAGTCAAATTATAATTTTTTTTTTTTTTTCATTAGTTATAGTATTTATTTTACATTATAAAATAAAAATAAAATTGATATTAACCAATAAAAATAATAACTTATAATAATAATCAATAATTTTCATGACAATTTTATGTTCCATGCCAAGGAAACAAACTAAGTTCTATATTAAAGTGTACATTTTTTTTCATTAGCGCACGGAAGCATTTAAAACTTAAATTTATATTACAAACAATATTATTTTACAATAAAAATGTATAAATTAGTTTTAATATTTTGAAGTGAAATAATCAAATTAATAACATTTGTATTTATTTCTACAAAATGCTATTTACTTAAATACAATTTTAAATTATTTGGCAGCTTTGGGCGAACCACAACTTATGATTCATAAGTGAATAAGAGACAAATAAAAGAATGTATATAGAGTATACAGATAGTCGAAGTATATTTAAAAAAATATATAAGCTGATAGTATTAATACTGCTTACAGATGCATTACTATAGAAAGTGGACAGTTGGGAAGATAAAAAATATTATTTTATGTACCTAGTTATTTCATTTATTTCTGAGCAAAGTTCAGTTAAATATGTTTTAAAATAATGCTATATGAATGTGATTTTCATAAATATTTGAACTTAAAACTTTAAACAAAAATTATCTCATAAATGCTCAACTTTTTGTTTAATCACCAACTAAAACTTCAACATTTTTAATGGGCTGAAACAATGTTATCTACATAAAACCAGATAAAAATTAAAAAAGTTCAATATGGTTACCTATAAATAACTCAAAAATTGCCAGAGTTCATATGTCAAAAAAAGTGTTACATATTAGTAAGTTGCTCGGTCCTAATTTCAAGTTTTTATAATTATTTTTTAATTGAATTATGAAAAAAAAAAATAAATAAACAACAATATTTATCTGCAAATTTTCTGTCTTTTCCACTTTTTTGTTATTATTAAGGAATCTACATAAAAAAAATAATCAAAAATCATACACCGTAGTTAAATAGTCATCGCTTCGTTCGGAATCTAAAGAGTACACATAATACAACTCAATGTATTCTTTTAATACCTACACGAGCGACTTAAACACTTCAAGATTCAGTGCTTTAAAAAAACATATTTTAAAGCAAAAAAATTGAAAATTAAATAGTATGGATCCACATAATAGATGGGCGCTTTCAATATATCCAGCAGACTGCAATTTGGGCGACTAGAATTTCCATAATTATTTATCCTATTCTGTAATTAACATCATTTTATGGCGATGAACACGAACTGAGATATTTTAGATTATGTTGGTGCATGGTAACGAACTACGGCTTCGGATATTATAATTATTTATGTTACAGCCAAAGATATACTCAGTATAACGATTAATGGTCTATATAATATGAATATACATTGTTAAATTGNTAATTATTTATGTTACAGCCAAAGATATACTCAGTATGACGATTAATGGTCTATATAATATGAATATACATTGTTAAATTGTCATTTGTATCTATCCATATCTAATATGTATTAGTAAGGTGAATTAGCCTTGTTTAATGCATTACAATATGACTGCGAAAAAATATTAGATTTTTATAACACTATTGAGTCTTTATCGAATACCGCGAATGTCGAACGAGATTCGAGACCATCAGCTACCGAAAAACCGAGGTTTTGCGCTGCCGTTGCTATAACGTAGTTTTCTTTTCCATGATCAACCCGTATCCGGCGATGAATCGCGCGCAGTAAGTAAGTTGACGAGGCGTTTTTAATTTTTATCAGCGGTTTTGTCCTTGAACGCGCGTGTGCACTGTCCCGTGTTTTCGTCTTAGTATAATATTATATTTTGTTGTACGTTGTTATGTTATTATTTTTATTTTCAGTCGTGTACGGTTTGTTGACAACTGTATAACCTTTTTGGTGTTGTTAAACTCGTGTTGAAAATAAAATCCTCTTGGATACCTACTTGTTTTTTCGACTTCTGCTTGTCTATGCGAGTGACGTGACGACCGCACTTTTCAGTTGGTAGCTCAAAACCAAATAATCTGACAGTTTAGTGTAGCGCGGGCCCACAGTTGTTGACGTTATCCGGCGGTTACACGCCACGCCGTATCCGTTATACAGTTACGAATAAGGGTAAGTCAACAGAACGATTTCCGTCTTACTGGTATTCCTCAACGCGGAGTTAATGCTCACACATACACATACACATACATATACTCGTACACTAAATTACGCTAAATCAAAAACTTTAAATATTACATAGGTAATAGCCGCAGTCACAATGAGTGTCGATACATACGGTCCGAGTTCTCAGACTCTAACGTTTTTGGAGACCGAAGAAGCCGACATGATCGGTGCGGACACTCAGGGTAGTGAATTCGAATTCACCGATTTCACACTGCCGTCTCAGAGTCAAGCACCCATGTCTCAATTGGACCCGTCGACATCATCTCATAGGGTACTCATAATACCGATTATAGTATTAATAATCATCATGCATGGTTTATTGACAATTAATTGTATAATTTTATTTATTTGTTTCTCGTTAATAGATGCAGTTACTGAGTAATAAAAGTGACAAAGATGACTCTAATGTTATTACGGTCACCAAGAAGATTGGCGAACTTCAGTTTGAGGATGAAGAAGAAGATTCATTTTTTACCAAGGTACATTTTTCTTTGATCATGTTCTCGTAGCGTTTTAGTTTTGTAGTTTTATTAAAACAATATAATAGGCTAATGTTGAAAATAAATTGGTAATTAATAGACTTTTATTGAGAAAATTAAGAACCTAATTAGATGGTACATACTTAATTTTTTATTTTTGGTTTTCCATAATACTTTGATATAGTTGTTTATTTAAAATCCAACCTTAAATATCACTTAAATTTTGTAGATCGTCAATTAGGTACTTGTACATTGAAGTTGATATTATTATAATACAAAATATATTGCTAAATTATTGTAAGTTTTTTTTTTTAAGTTTCAACAAAAATTAATATTAAATTGTAGTACTTAAAATTGTGTATTACTTTATTTCTATAGGTACCAATTTTATGAAAACATATTTATCCCATTATATTAAAATATAATATATTTTAAAATTTTAAAATAACTTAACAACTGTTAAGGTTGTTTAATATCTTTGTGTTTATCTTTAGTCACAATTATTTGAAGCTGAGTGTTAAGACCTTATAGATTTATTTGATTGTTATTAGTACTATTTTCTCGTAAAAATGTGGTTTTAAATATAATAGTTACTACAGTTTCAATATTTTAATTAGTAATTTTAAGTAATCGCATCAATTTACTATCAACTTAAGTTGTATAAAATAATTAGACCATTATCTAGTATTGTTTATATTTTTTTTTTTTAATATTTGATCACAAGTATTTCATTAAAATGAAATGAAATAAATAAATGAATATAATTTATTAAAAAAGAAGTATTTGACCAGTAATATAATTTAAAAAAGTTCAAGTAAATTAAGTTTTGGTATCTTTATACTAGGTATTAAAATATCATTTGTCATCATATTGTTATTATTTAAATTTTTATAAATTTAAACAATAATTTACAATATAACATAAATGTTTCTGTTATTATTTAGGAATTGCCGTACTATGCTTGCAAGTATTGTGGTATTCATGACCCTGGATGTGTGGTCATGTGCAATATTTGCAAAAAGTGGTTCTGTAACGGACGTGGAAATACTTCTGGATCGCATATAATCAATCATTTGGTTCGAGCTAAACATAAGGAAGTAACATTGCATAAAGATGGTCCATTGGGCGAAACCGTATTGGAGTGCTATTCGTGCGGTGTAAAAAATGTTTTTGTGCTTGGATTCATTCCTGCCAAAGCTGATTCAGTGGTTATATTGCTTTGTAGACAACCTTGTTCTACACAAAACGCTCTAAAAGATATGAATTGGTAACTAATTATTATTTTATAAATATTCATTTTATGTATCTATTGATTTAAAATTAACTATTTTTTTATTATTTGTTAGGGATCAGGAACAATGGAAACCATTAATTGCTGATCGCTGTTTTTTAACTTGGCTTGTCAAAGTACCAAATGATACTGATCAGTTGCGTTCCAGACACGTCAGCGCCACTCAGATTGCTAAGCTTGAAGAATTATGGAAAGATAATAATGAAGCTACGATTAATGATCTTGATAAACCAGGTGTAGATGAAGAACCACAAATTGTTTTATTAAGATATGAAGATGGCTTTCAGTATCAAAATGTATTTGGACCATTAGTGAAATTAGAAGCAGATTATGATAAGCGTTTAAAAGAATCCCAGACTCAGGAAAACATTACTGTTCGATGGGATGTTGGATTGAATAAAAAGACAATAGCCTATTTTCATCTTGCCAAAACAGACGGTGATATGCGTTTGATGCATGGTGATGAATTGCGTTTGAGATTGATTGGTGAAAATCCATGGGCCGGTATTGGGCATGTCATTAAAATACCTGATAATTTTGGAGAAGATGTAGGATTGGAATTGAAGATAAATAATGGAGTACCTACTGAAATAACTTCAAACTATGTGGTTGATTTTATATGGAAGTCTACATCTTTTGATAGGTAGGTTTAAAAATATCATTATTAAGATTTAATACAAACTACTTATATGTTAGTAGATATTTTTAAATATTTATTTTTTTTATTTTTAGAATGCAGTGTTCATTGAAAAGATTTGCTACTGATGAGTCGTCAGTGTCATCATATATATATCATAGATTATTGGGGCATGAATTTGATGACCTAATGTTCAGATCGCACATGCCAAAACACTTTTCAGCTCCAAACTTACCAGATTTAAATAGATCACAAGTAATAAATATAATTTTAAAATATTATTTGTAGACAGTAAAAGTTTAATTGAAATAATTAAAATAATAGGTTTATGCTGTAAAACACGCTGTGCAACGGCCTTTGTCTTTAATTCAAGGACCCCCTGGAACTGGTAAAACTGTAACTTCTGCTACAATTGTTTATCAATTAGTAAAAATCAATGGTGGGCCAGTATTGGTGTGTGCCCCTTCAAATATCGCAGTGGATCAACTAACTGAAAAAATTCATAAAACTGGCTTAAAAGTATAATATTTAATACATTTTTGATAACATTTCATTACTATTATTAATTGTGTAATTGAATTTAGGTTGTTCGTGTATGTGCTAAATCTCGTGAAGCTATTGATTCTCCAGTTTCATTTTTAGCCCTTCATAATCAGGTCCGAAAAATGTCTTGGTAAGTCATTTTAAGATACTTTTTACATTTGTGTAATTTTTTGTGTAATATTATTTTTTGTTTAGTAATGTTGAGCTTCAAAAGTTCCAACAATTAAAAGATGAAACTGGTGAACTGTCAATGGCCGACGAAAAAAGATATCGTGCTCTGAAGAAGGCAGCTGAACGTGAGTTACTTAAAGCAGCTGATGTTATTTGCACTACATGTGTTGGAGCAGGTGATCCACGCTTAGTACGGTTTAAATTCCATTCCATTCTGATAGATGAAAGTATGCAAGCTACAGAACCCGAGTGTATGGTTCCAGTTGTACTCGGAGTCAAACAGGTGAATATAATTTATAGTAATACTTATTTATGGTCTTATATAATTATTTGTTTTTAGTTGATTCTTGTTGGAGATCACTGCCAACTTGGACCTGTAGTAATGTGTAAAAAGGCAGCAAAAGCTGGTTTAAGTCAATCACTTTTTGAGCGTTTAGTAGTGTTAGGTATTCGCCCTTTTAGATTAGAAGTACAATACAGAATGCATCCAGAACTTTCACGTTTTCCATCAAATTTCTTTTATGAAGGATCATTGCAAAATGGTGTTTGTGCTGGTAAATTCCTTATTATATTTCTAGCAGTTTTACACAATTTTGACTAATAATATATTTTTGTATTTAATAGATGATAGGAAATTAAGCAAAATTGAGTTCCCCTGGCCAGTGGCAGATAAACCAATGTTATTTTATGTGACTCAAGGTCAAGAAGAAATAGCTGGCTCTGGAACATCTTATTTAAATAGAACAGAAGCCGCTAATGTTGAAAAGATTGCTACTAGGTTTTTGAGATGTGGTGTAAAACCTGATCAAATCGGAATCATCACTCCTTATGAAGGACAACGTGCGTACTTGGTATGTATTATTATTTATTATTCGAATAAGTTTATAAGCCTTATAGCACATATGTTTTAAAACTAATACATTTAAAAATTAAATTAATATAACAAACATTTTCTAATTCAAATTAATATGTTCTTTTCAATCATTAAAAGTCATAATATCAGTACTAATTTTTGATATCTTTATTTAGGTGCAATACATGCAATATCAAGCACCCCTTCCAGCTAAAGTATACCAAGAAATTGAAATAGCTAGTGTGGATGCATTCCAGGGCCGGGAAAAAGATTTGATCATTATGTCTTGTGTGCGTTCTAATGAACATCAAGGAATTGGGTTTTTAAACGATCCCAGACGATTGAATGTTGCTCTGACAAGGGCTAAATATGGCATTTTAATTGTTGGAAATCCAAAAGTTTTATCCAAAGTAAATAATTAATTTACTCTTCAAGAGTTTTTTTCATAACCTACTTAAATTTTTTTTAGCAACAATTATGGAACCATTTGTTGAATTATTATAAAGCAAACAATGTCTTAGTGGAAGGACCATTGAATAATTTAAAAGAATCTCTTATTCAGTTGTCCAAACCCAAACAGTTGGTGAACACATCAAATCCTGGATCACATTTCATGACAACCCATATGTATGATGCTCGTGAAGCTTTAATTCCTGGCAGTGTTTATGATCGTAGTAATCAAGGAAATGTACCTAATGGTCACGGTCCACATCAGTATTTCCCGAGACCTGGACCAGGTCCTGCAGTTGGAATGAGTTTAGACTTGTATACTCGTAATCATGATCCATTAACGTTTATCACGCCAGATACTAGATCGCAACCTCAAATTGGTGGAATACCTGTTGGTATGGTGATGAATATGAATTCCATGGCGCCTAGATTCTTTAATCAACAATCCGTTCAAAGTAAATATTTTAACAGTAATATGGGCAATTTAATGTATTAAATATGAGGGAAACAATAAATGTATTAGATTTACTATAAAAAAAATAAGACTAAAAAATACTGTTTGGAATTTTTTTTTTGTTAGCAATGATTTATTATTGTGTACATTAACTTAATTACTCTATATACTTTTACATTTATTTTATTATTTATTTTTTTAAATTGTAGATCGTCAAAATGTTCGCACCAATCGGTTGCCAATGACTAGTGGGCGTCTGAAAACTAAATCCAATCAGAAGAATCAAAAATCAAATGGAATTGGCGCTTCTCCTCTCAGTCAAGCATTAATGCCAGATGTTTCCCAGCCATACAGTCAGAATATGTCGCAGGTATATTTTTTACTATTTATTTAAATTTTTTTTTTTTGATTAAGACGTATAATAAATATACCTCAGTGATTATAAGAAAAACAACACAAAAAATTAAGAGGAAAATCAATTTATTATTTGTTTTAATTTGTTATTTTGTTCATTTTATTAATGTAATGTAATGATTTCAGAGTATGTCTCAACCAGGATTTAGTCTTTCGCAACCAGGATTATCTCAGCCTGAGTTATCACAAGACAGTTATATGATGGGTGAGTTTCATTCGCAAATGGACGGGTTACTCTCCCAAGACTCCACGTACCAAGGTGACCGTACAGTCACTTCATTTTACAATCCACCGAACACATTGTACTCTCAGGTAAGTGTTTAAATATTATAGACTAAGTGTCCATCTAGCATTGCCTAGATTTTATATTGAATCAAATGTTTTAGTACACAAATTAGTACCTAGTATATAAAAATAGCTGTACTACTAGCTAGCAACTTTGTCCACGACTTCGCCCTTGTGCTATTCAGTGTATGGTATATTCCTATTTTGGTTCGAATTAATCTTACCGGAACCTCCCACTATGAAGTTTTTCGACTTTCCCCGAAACCAACTATTTAAATTAATTTAAGTGAACCATTACCCAATTACCCATTGGAATGTTTCCCATTAACCTCTCTTGGGAGTATCTAATTTTGGTCCTCAAAATACCCCTTTTACTATGCTCGCTTTTGAGATTAAGCATGTCGAGACATGGCTCATGTTAGTATTAAAGAAAACCATTTATTTTGAATTTGTTAAATACGAGACTCCTTTTTTCTACCTTTATCTCTATCACACTTTACTGTTGCATGTTTTATACAAATATATTGGTATTAAATAATGGTGATGTGTATTGATTCTTGTTCAGCTAGGACAAAGTCGTTAATAATATAATATGTGTACTTTTTTTTTTTTTTTAGCAACCATATTGAATACATTTGTAATAAATGAGTACAGCCAATGAGGTACGTGGGAGCGTCTTGTTGGTGCTGATTTATCAACAGAATATTTGTATTATTGCGCGTCGTTTGCGAACATCATGAACAACCCATGTTTGCATAATTAAATGTTTGTGGAGAAAAACTCCTAAAGGGCTAAGATGAACATTTTGCAATTGATTTTATATAACTATTGAATGTGGAGAATACAAATTACGTTACTTACTGAAATGTTTTGGCGAAAACCATATTATTTTGCATATTAGTAGTTCAACATTATTATTTCTTATTATTTATTTAATTTTTTTTTTCTTCTGTTATTGACTTATATAATATCTAATTTTTTTTACTTTGAGTTCAAGAATTTAGATGTGCATCTAAACATACATAATATATATATATATATTATATATATAATATATATATATTATATATATATTATATATATATTACATGGGAAAACATAATATAGTTATTAAATTTAATATTTTGCTTACAGTAATGATTAAACTTTGTAGGCGATTTCCTATGATTTTGTTTATTAATTCCGGTTTTTTTTCTTTACTTAAAATAACTTTTCACATTAATCTTTTTTTTTTTTTACGAGTCAATTGTGTAAGTTTAATGTCTTTAGTTTCAGTTTTGTTTTTTTTTACATAAATATAACAACCAAATGATATTTTATTATGAAGGCAAATGAAAAATTATATAGATTTTCTAAGTTCTGTAATACCTGTTATTTGGTAATGTATTAGATCTATCGCAATGTTTGACATATTTGGTTTTAAGTCTAGTAATAATGTATGATTGATTGACATTGTTTGATAATAATGTTAAACAACAGCTGTCTATAACATTTATATTTGATTTTTAATTGTTATGTTGGTTATTATCATTTAACAAGAGTTGTGTAAAATTACTAAAGAAGTTGAAACAATATTTCTTTGGTTCTTGATTATGTTAAATATTTTTATTTTTATAAACCAAAAAAATTGTTAAAAAACAAAAAATATATAATTTATTAGAATTTAGTACTTTTAAAGTAGAAAAATATATTCTTGAAATCAATCGTAAGAATACAAAAATAATTTTTTAACCCGGTTAGTATTAAATGCAGAAAGTTAAAGAAAGTCTGTGATCTGTTGGAGTTATAAATATTTTAGTTTATAATGTTAAGTAGGATGTAATTTCAATATTTAGTTATAATTTTATAACTATTTATTGAGTGACCATCTGTGTATTCTCGTAAAGTCAAAATAAAATTATGTATAATAATGTTCTTTTTTTTAAAAAAAATGTAGTTTAATGAAAACGCTACAGTTTATTGGCCAGGGCACTTTTTCTCCAAGACATATTTAAAATATATAAATCAATTGTGGGCTTGGATAATTAATTAATTAAACCTTTTTTTTCTTTTTTGAAAGTAATTATTAATATATCAATGTTTTTTTTTTTTTTGTAAGATATTTTGTAAACAAAATATAATTTAAGGAAACAAACATTTTTAATTTCTATATGAACTTGCTAAATTTTTACTTTTAAATAGTCATTATAATTTTGAATTTATAAAAAATTGTAATAGATACTTAGTAGTATAGTGTGCATTCTAAATGTCAAGCTTATTTTTAGGCGTTAGTTAAACAAAATTGTACTAAACATGTTTATGGATTGGATTAATTATGATAAGTAAATTGAATAAAAACTAGTTGTGTAGAAAATTGTGTGTTATCTGTGATGTTTTGATTTTACACCTTTTACAGGACCCAAAATATTGACTGATTTCTGATAATTTGTTTATGCCTATAATAGTATGTTGTATGGAAAATAATACCTACCTAGTATATATTTGCTGGTTTCTCTACTGTTAACCAGTTTTTCTAATATTGGAGACATTAAAATTTACTGCCTTAGGTCATAATAATTTTTACCATCCTACTCAGCCTGAAAATAAATTAATACCTACTATATTTAGTAAAATAAGCCATAATGTTTAAAAAATACGCTTTCCTTGCCCCATCCTTTAAATACTTTTTTAGCTTTGGGTTTATAGATAAAACAGTCAGGATTGCATGATAAATATGTAAATAAGTGGTTAATAAAAATTTGAGGGCAGTATAAATCGGGAAAATAATATTCGCGAATATTATTTGTATGAGTTATTTATTATTTATGAGTTTATCAAAAACCGATGGTTAACATCGACTAAAAACTTGTGCCAGTCTTTGAATAGAAAGTAAACCCTGATATTTTTGCACAAAACCACGTCACAGTGGCATATTTACGGAGGGGGGAATTTAGGTGACGTATCCTCCATTTAGCTTTTTTTTTTTTATAAAATCATCAAATACATTTATGTACTTTTCTTCTATAAATATTAGATATTTAATATGTATTGGTACCACAGTAGGTATATTTTTTCTCTTTAAAATAATACATAAAAAAACCGAATCCCCATGCCAACTGTACATAACGAAGATAATATTAGTTACTAAGTTACTACAGTACTTATTTTTGCGTGCAGTAGCAATTTTCAAGTGTGTAGTAAAATATAAATTTCTTTTATAAGTTTATTATATATTACAATAATTACAATACAGAAAAAGTATTACGATTATTAGTTACAAAACCTTTTGATTTTTTTATGGTCAACATCAAGAATTCATTTTAATATTAAAATCATTATTAAATTAAAGCACCATATATTATTTTATAGCGGTATCTACAAAAGGATAACAAATTTCAATACTTTGTTCAAAATAAGTAAGTGATTTGAGTACTGTGATAAATGAAAAAAATTTGTTTACTAGTTACAACCATTAAAAGATGTTTGTTTAGGTATGCTGAAAAAAAAAATGGTTAAGTGTGTAGTGACAAAAAATAGGAACTGAGTTACTATAACATCAATCATCTAACAATATTATATACACCCTAAAAATAACTGATGAATTTTTCCACATTATCCGATTATCCGAATATTCGTAATGACTCTGGATTCCGACCTCACTCCTCATTAAGTAATAATCCGTTCAATCGGTAGTATCTGTCATGTCTCATGTGATTTGGTCTGATTGTGTCATTGCGATTTGTGAATTTAATACATTCGTGATTCGTATGAAAGTACTTAAAACACGGCTAATGATTTTTGAAATTTAATATTAATTTTTTATTTGTTACTCATTTTTAAAATAAAACGGTGCGAGTTATACAATAGTATTTTTTTTTATTAAAAAAAATGAAGATTAAAAGGAAAAAAGTTGATAATACTATAAATACACTTGTTACACGTTTTTCAAAAAAAATCATCGTAATAATAAAGAATGCTGTGATGGTGTAAGTACCTTGATCAATTTATATCTTGTTTTCGTAACTCCAATTTTTGTTTGTTTTATACGTTTTGAAGGGTCATATAAATCAAACCAAAATTAATGACCCAGCAACAACAAAGGTAACTTTCGAGCAATATTCAAGTATAGGCCCCATGGCGATACTTTCTTAAATATTATTAAATTATATTATTAAATATTCTTGAAGATGAAAGGGGTTACAGATACATATCATCAAAGACGCGAAATGAAATTATTTGTATTTGCGATCAATTAATTTCAAGAGAAATGGTCGGGAAAGTAAATGCTACCGAAGGGGTTTTGCAGTTTTAGCCGACGAAACAACGGATATTGTTACAAAAGAACAACTGACATTATGCGTTCGTTTTATTGACAATAACAATATGGTAAACTAGAGTGTTTTTCATTCTGTTATTATTCACAGTTTTTAACGGGAACTGACCTCGCGGCATCTGCTATGGCAATAGACGGCAACGATTTATCAAAACAATCAATTCAAATCGATACATCGATAATCACGTACCGGTTGTATTGTATTTTGTGTACCCAGGTGTAAAAAGTTGTTTGGTACTAATTGCGAACGTTCAATTGGACAAGGCCACAAGAGGGCATGGTGGCGCGTCTAACACGAGTGATAAACGCAGAGGGGTCCTAGCAAAATATCCCAAAGTCCCATTTAGCTTGTTCATTGTGCCGCACACACACGTTAAATCTAACAGTTTAAAAAGGAACGAATATTCAACCGGTTAGAAACTGTCTCGGTGTTGTCGTGAGAAACTCTACATCGTTTTCGGTACGCCGAAATGTAACGGCGCGCTTTTGAATTGTATCGAAAACGCAAACGAAACACCGAACGGTCAAGACGTTCGCCAGACCGTGCGCTCATACGGCGTTGGACACAAAGCCACGACGTTGTCAATGATTTCGCTGAACCGTTTCCGTGCGTCGTGGACGCTCCAGACAATATTTCACTGGCGCACGACGACCCGTCGGGTACACAATACGCATTTTCATTTGTCTAAACCGATTGGTTCAGAACGGTAATAACGGTTACCGCGGTACACCCGCGATCGCTGCATCACCGTTACCGTTGTGTCACGAGACGCTATCACGCACCTGTGGCGCCCGGTCGGCGGACCGCGCGCGGTTCGCGACCGGACCCCGGTTATAAACATTGTTGGCGATACCCGGTCGCGCACTACTCGCGTGCTCGGCGAACACACGCGATTCCGACTGCTCGCCGGGTGTTTGGACCGGACGACCCGCGCGCCTGTCGCCGGTCTTCGCGCGCTCGTTGACCGTTGTCCGATCGCCGTGTTTGCCGTCGCCGACACCAACCGGACCCTCGGAGAAAAATAACGGAATACGCGACCCCCTCGTTCGCGGCGATAAGCGAGAGATGCCTGTTGTCGGCGCTGCGTCTACGGCCGTGTGTGCCGCGTATACGTTTAGAAAAGCGAAAAGCTAGCCAACCCAAATGAAGGGCGGCGGACGTTGTCGTCGAATGAAAAGTCGACAGAGGTGAGTACATTTTTTGTCGTTGTACGTTGAACTGAAAATTGTTGGCCGTAAATAGATTTCAATGCGACGGCTCCCATCGGCCCGCGCGGCTCGTGAGGCGGTCACGGTCGCGGACCGATCGCCGGGTGCGCGAGCCGCGCGGTTGTCGACGCGGACGGCCGTTATTGTCGCGTTGCCGCTATTGTGAGGCGGCGCTACACGCTGTGGCCGACATTGGATCCGGTGTGTATCTGCGTGTGAACTGTGAATACACTCGAATGCTCGATTTGATTCGACCCGCTTGATTTAACTTTTGAAGTGTTCGGAATATGTACAAATAGAAAACGGACGACGTGGTTGCGGCCGCAGCCACTGCGTTCTGTCGTTCTGTCTGGTAGTAAGCTATTAATTCGAAAACGTCTCGAGAGCGGACACGCGACTAAACGCGTCGCATCGTGCAGCTGTATACCAAAATGCCGGTTGCAATTCGCTCCCAACGTTGGACACGGACATTTGTCGGCGTGTCGAACCGTCGCGCGGCCAACGTCTGGACGTCCAAAGAAACTGGACGCATCGTGTGGCACCGCCTTATTATTCGCATTCCGTGTTTCACTGGCCGTGAGCCGCGTCCCCCTAATGGTAATTGTCCTCCGTTGACGCGCGAAACGGCGGAAGAGAAAAAAAAATATATAGCCGGTTATCACGAAATGTCGTCGTAAATATTGTTTTTTTTTTCCTGCAATACACGTTAACTTATTTTGAGCGACAAAAATTAATAAAAACACAATTATTGTTTAGCGAAAATCATGTTTTTTTTTTTTTTTCTGGTACATTTAAAGCGTTATTATTACAAACAATAGTACGACAATAAATACGTTATAATAAAATTATATTAACGTGTTATGTGTGCCGAGATACACAAACTCACGCGGCCGTACGTCGAACGGTGGTACGGCACGTGCTCGTAACGTTAACATGCTATTTTTCGCGAGTGTACAAACAGTTAAAAAATATTGTCGTCGAAAAATTACCGTCGTTTTAATATTTAAAATATATATGGTTAAAAATACAACACGTATATAATAATATATTATGTATCATAAAATATCAAACTTAAAACATAGATAATGAATATAAATAGACAATATCGTAAAATACACAAGTGTAAATAATATATAACGGTATTCCCATTTAACGTTAAATATTTCAAATAAATCTCTTTTTTTTTTTTTTTCCCCCCTCGTTATAATGCATTTCGCAGAGTACATGACATTTTACTACACTATGAACTTCTGAACGACGACTTACGGGGGTGGGAGGGGGGGGTTAGCGCAAGGGGCATATACGTACATACATGTATATCTCAACGGGAAAAATAAAAAACCACGGCGGATAATCATAATTTTTTTTTTTCGTGACGGATTATTTGTAGAGATCGCGAGGAGTGAAAACAACGTCAACTCTGTCAACTCCGGCGCAATATTCGCCCGCACCGCAGCTCTGTTTTACCGCGAGTGCGACTCTTGCGGTTCGTAACCGTTGACGCGCGCGCACGTGCCCGGTACGTTTTAGGTTTTGTGCGGTTCCCACCCCGGTACACGCAGGCCCGGTCGCCTGGTCGTACGCGTCGCGGGGACACGTACGCGGACCACTCGTCGCCGTTATGTTTTGTCAAATCCGCGGCGGGCCGAAACGAAACTAGGGGGTGGGTGAGAAACGCCGGAATTCGCCGGGAGCACCCCTGTCCCGTCATTTGCAAGGCCCCCGGGGCGTTCAGACCAGACGGGCACGGATAAGACCGGCCGTTTCCGGTCCGAAACGGTTGCACGCGCGACGGTGGTCGAGTCGCGAACGGTACGACGGTTGATGGTGGCGTGTACGCGGCGTGTTCCATATCGCGGTTCTAAAACGGAGGGGGGGGGGCGCGAAAAAAAATACCGGAATGCCGCGGTGCGCGTCTTTTCTTCTCGCAATAACGTCTCCGGTCGTCGGACGCCCGAACTGTGACGCGTTATTAGCGTGGCGTCTGACAGGTACTGTTCGCGGACGGTGACGAGCTAATGAGAAATCACGTGGGATATTAAAGACCGGTCGAAAAAGCGTCTGAAAAGCGATCGAGCGCGCTCGATTAAACTGTTTTTTTTTATTTTCTGTGATTCCGCCTACGCGCGAAAGGAAAGTGCCGCGCCCCGCGGGCGCGCACACCGGACTGATCGAACGAATAATGCGCGTAAAAGAAAACGAAAAATGCCGTTGAAAAATCCGATACACGACGGTTAAATCGACAACTTTCGATAAACCTATAAAAACGCAATATTACAATACAATGTTATTTGCAGACGAGAAATTAAAATACATTTCTAAACAAACGCGTTGTCATAATAATATTATTTGCTACGTAATGGGAAACGACGCGACCGACCATCGTTTCGCGTACATTATGACGGAAACCCGTCCCGGGATTTTCGCCGCGCGTGATGTTACACCCCGGGTCCTGTCCGCGGTTCTATCGCCGTATAGAAACGGCGGGACGTCGTCGGGGTGTTTTTTTTTCTGACGAAAAAGAATTTAAAAAAAAAAAAAAAAATTAAAAAAAAAATTTATATAACCGGGGTAGCGCCGGCGACTGTGCACCACGGCGACAGTGCCGGCGGAACGGTGCGCTGCGAGTAGCACGCGGGTGATACGAACGCCCGCTCGCTTCAGCGGCCGGCCGCGGCATCCGAAAGACAGAAAAAAAACCGTAGACGTTTTTTTTTTGTTTTGTTTTAACACGTGCGGTTCAATATCGCCGCGTAGACTGGCAACGGTAGCAAAATCGCGAAACCGGGACGGGACGGGCGCCGTGACGAAAGCGGTTACACTCGGCGGGGATTTACCAACGAAATACCGTATAATATGTGTAAAATAATAATTTAAAAAAAAAAAACAAAAAAAACCCTCGCGTACGTAATTTTTCGGCCGTGAAAAAACAAATCGCATTGTGCCTATTGTGTCGGCACCGGTGTCAGTTATGCGTGGACATATGTAAATCGGCCGTCGTTCCCGGTCTAGTCACAACGTGTCTACGGTTCGCGCACCTATGTGTCGTTAAATTCTGTTAATACATTTATAGTTTTAACATTATAATACGGTTATATAAAAAAACAAAAAAAAAACAAAAAAAAAAAAATGAAAAATGAAAAATAAAAACATCGCGTAGGTTTCTGTTTGTTTCGATTGGTTCAGGCCACGGTACACGAATTCCTTTTGAGCATGATACGTCCCTTTGTTCCCGTCGTTCCCGGACGATTTCCCACGTAACTCGGGAGAGACATGCGCCTGCGTCTCACGGCCGGGCTCAAGTTGTACTGAACCTATAAAATCAAACACGGTTGCAAATTAGATCGGTACAGAATGGGCAATTCGTCCGGAGTTGTCTTTTGGGGATTTATTTTTGACTGCGTTTAGGCGATTGTGTAAACGGCGTATTATTATCTAGGGTGCTGCGCGGGTAATTGATGTTCAACGGACTCGAATTGGACGACGGATTCAAGAATAAAACATTGATTGTTTTTTGTTTTTTGTTTTAATCAAACGGATTCATCACCTAGATAAAGCAGCGTTTTTGGATTTTCATCACGGGCCGTTTTCTGTTAAATCGCACCGAATCGTTTCGGGCTAAAACGATCATTCGGCGCAACGTTTTTACACGTTAAAAAATGCACTGCACGTTGCAGACGTCCTCTTGAGGTCTCGGGGAACGTCTAGAAATTAGTAGAGACTGTGCAATTCACGATATCACTCGTCGTACGGTACGAACTGAGGCTTGAACTCTATACTTTACTCTCGTAGGATTTATTCGGTTTATTCGCTGTATGCGTACGCCAAGAGGTTTCGAAAATGTTTCGAGAAAAGATCCGAAAACCATCGCTGTTAATAATATATTCGCAAGCATAATACAGTTACACTTATTCGGTCTGTGTCAAAATGAAACCGAGTTGGAAATAATCTCTCTTTTTTTGTTTCTCAAATAAAATGCGCATAAAAGATTATTCATTGTACCGAATTGTTACGAAAAATTACACGTTCGGTTCTTATGACAATATATCATAACATAAAAGAGAGATTTATATTTATACATTTTTTACTGTTGCCGTGCGCTGTGATATTTATAACGTAACACGGTCAATAAAACGATTATAAAAAATTGCTACGAGACTTTGCGGAGTCAGTATGTATAGTTTTTAATCGTGCGTAGAGTTGAAAAAAAAAAATCCAAATCTATATATACGGCGGAAATAACGAGCCACTATAGTCTTTCGTGCACGTAAGAATATTCTAGAAAATTATAACGATGATAACCGAACATGATATTATAATTATTTATTATCGATCCCCGAGTTTCTCGGATTTGTATGCGTTGTTATTATTGCGTTCTTTTGTTCGAGTTGAAATTCGCAATTTTTACTGTCGGAATCGTTGTCCAATGATAATAATGTCGGTTGAATATTAATTTGTTACAATGAGGGAACGTACTGTAGTTGTACAACAACTGAAATATTCAAATTTTATCGGTCGATATAATTTACCCGCTTCAATTATTTTCGACATAATAAGTTTTATATTTTCTGGAAACTGACACTATTTGAAACACTTATTATCGACGAATAATAAATTAGACTGCGCTGCACAACACGTTCCCGAAATCTCGTTGGTCTGCGAATAGAATATTATTACGTACAGATGGTGCTACGGAGATCATTGCGACGTCGTGGTAATCATTTTTTTTTCCGTAAATTCTTCTTACAATTCAAGAAACGAGTAGCTCTCAAACGTTACATGACCATTATCTTTCGTCATCCGTATTTTAGGGGGTGAAACGACTATAAAGGTAACTACTTTTGATTTTCGAACGGCGGCCTATATTAATAACTCCATAAATAAACGAAATATTAATTCAAATACGTTTTGGTGTTGACGTCCGGCTTGGAAAAAATCGAGACTCCGCGCAGTCATTTTTTCCGGGCCTCAATATGCTTTTTTATTTCGTTTTTCATCTTCCAATATCAAATGTAGATACATTTTTACAATACGGTTATTTTTATTTTGTTAATTTTTAATCATGCGAAATGTACTATCTAGCTATGATAACGATTGGACGCGGGGGTCTGTGCGCGTGCAAAGCTTGTCCTGCCTTCAAGCTGGCTGGGCCTGGTTGACATTTTTGATTTTCGTAAACCCGTCGATGAGATTTTCCACTTTTGGTTTGTTTGGGTAGGGGGAGAGTAACGGAGCACCATTTGCGTGGCGGCGCTGCGCGCGGCGTTTGAGAGTGTGCGTGTAGGCAGTCGGATCATCCTCAAAAATAATGTTGACAAAAAATAATGGTAATGTAACGTTTTCGAACTACTTTTTTCTTAAATTATACATATAAAAAAAAAAAAGTCGATGTATCCCCAGATATCGTAATGGTCTTCGTGGGATATACATGCACAAAATTCCCGACGATGACTCGAATCATAATATTATCATACAGGTGAAATCCATCTCGTTTATGTTTATTTTTATTAAATTAAATTGATTATTATTATTGTTTATTATTTGTTCACCCACCTTTGCCTGAGTTAAAAGTTCCTTGAACACCTTTACGATGTTCGTGTTTTCTTTGGCCGAACATTCGACGTAACCGCATTCCCAATCAAATCTGGCGATTGTTTCGGTAGATTCGACCGGCGTAAATCTTTCGGCGAGTTCGCATTTGTTGCCCACGACGACTATTGGAATTTTCGGTCCTCGTCTTTCCATTATCTATACACATGTAATACAGACAAGACGGAGACATTAATAAATATTATATTAATTGTCAAGAACCTGTTAAAATAACGCAACAATTATATTACTGGAACTGTAGTATTTCTCTTAAAAAAAAAAAAAAAAAAAAGGTGTTATACTCGAGTTTTCCTCCCCTGTTCATTTCCTTCAGTTATACCGAAAATAATAAATCGTACTTCCTCCGTAATAAACTGTGTACTTATACATTTCGTATACTCCGGACAAAACTTAATATTTTCCAGTAAATGTTATATTAAAAACTAAGACCGCAGGATATTTATAATCAGTTACTCATTTAAAAATTCAAAGTTAAGTATTTTTTAAATAATTTAAATGTAATACTACCTATATAATACTCCGAAAGTATCCTGAAAAATGGTTTATGCTCTAATAATGACCTATCAAATAATCACCTATGAAATGGACTAAAACAAATAAACACACTGGCTTTAAAAATGATTAAAATGAAAAATAAAATGTTTTATTCTCATTCAAAAATGTATGACACTAATTTCTAACAAAACGAGCTTTGGAAAACAATACAATGCACATTGANTTATTCTCATTCAAAAATGTATGACACTAATTTCAAACAAAACGAGCTTTGGAAAACAATACAATGCACATTGAAATTCCAGCCCAATTTATTGCGATTCGCTAATTTATTAATTGATATTATAATATTTTATTTCCTTCGTTCTTCTTTTTAACATTTTCTCTAATATTGTAAGGTTTGAACGTAATAGATTGATTTTAACACAGACGGAGGAAGAGAATTTAGTCATTCGGTGTAAAATGGTCCCGCCTTATAATTGTCGGACAAGCCATAATACCGTATAGTAACATATTATAAAATTGTTGAAATTTACTTGATCTTTGAAGTGTTTGACTTGTTCCCAGGTATCTTGTCTGTCCACGCAAAACACTAAAATAAACGCATCGGCCGTGGATATCGATAGCTCTCTCATGGCCGGGAACTGGTAGGCTCCCGACGTGTCCAGAATGTCCAACGTCAGTTTTGCACCGTCGGGAAGGTCATAGTCTCCTATATGTGAAAATAACATTATTTCTGTGTTTTCCAAATTTTTTCGACTTAAAAGTGCCTTTTTTGAACTAAGGTTTTCTCAGAACGCTCTTGAAACGAATGAAACCAATATGTATCGAAAAAGTTTGTTAATATTTTATATTCTGAGTGGAGCGAGGAATGTATTGCTTTTACAATGATGTTTATTATTTTTTTTTTTTTTCTTTGAACAACTTTTCTACCAGCAATTTTGATCCGATTTACAATGATAGCACTTTTTTAAAAGGGGAATTTGACTGGAAAGGTACTTTAGGGAGATCATATTTTTGATTTTCTCAGAAGTTTTCCCAACAAAAGGTAAAACATGGAAAAACAGGGGAAAACGAAGGAAAACCGGGAAAAAAGGTACAATGTTAAACTAAATATTATTAAAGAAAATATATTATAATGCATATGTAATTATTCTACCATAATATGGCGTATTATATATTGTTGACAAAGCAACACCATAAATCGAACTCAATTCAGAATCGTTTTTTCGCTATCAATGGTTAATCCTTGCTTACAGAGAATAATTAATTGTATCACTATGTAATATTATTATAACAATAGAGACGCAGAGGCGTAGGTGTAGATTATTTATGGATGGAGTGGGTGGGTATCTGACCATCAATTATTTGTGTTAGGAGTCAAACATCGAATTAGACTATTTTCATCATTTCTGAATCGGAGGGGTAATTCCCCAGCCCCTTACCTATTCCCTTAAAAATGTATATACCGCGTACCTTGCGGGAAACCTCTCAAAGTTTTATAGTAATTATATTGCGCGGTTACGTCAATATTTTAGACGATAATATTAATTATTGTTATTATTTTACAATTGATATTGTGTAAAAACTATACGTTTTTTACCCGGGTTAATTATATAATTTTGAAATTGCGAAACTAAACCTATTAATTATTATATTTAAAAAAATACCCGCACATCAATTTACACGATAAAGTTAAGTAGACGTTAATAAAGGGAAAGTTGAGATTTTATTTTTTTTGTCAGAAATATTATTTTTGTCTTGAGTTTATGAGGATGGGGGAAAACTAAAATTAAACATTTTCATCGGATATGGGGTGGATTTATGTTTTTGCTCGGTATCGCGATACAGTCGATTATATAGTCACGCAAAAACTTTTACGAGCGATGAAACGTGACTACTAATTTTATCGCCGTGATCCAAACAATGAGGAGAAATAAAATTAATATTTTATGTACACGTCTTTCAGGTGGATTCACGTTTTTTAATAATTAATGTATCAACTTGTAAAAAAAAAAAAAAAACGTATTTTCGATATTTATAGTGATGATATATGAATCCTGATTTGTAATTGAAGTAAAACTGTGGACTAGAGTCCGTGAACTTTGTATTGAACAGAACGTACGATTATTTTTTTGAACTCTGTGATGTTCATAATCCTTAATTTCCATTAAAAAGTTTCCCCAATAAATGGTAAAAATTACGGAAATTATGGATTATCATAAGAAAATTATAAAAAAAAATGCCAAAAATTTATTTAAGACTTTCTTCTTTGGGACTTTAAAGTCTAATACAGCTGATGGATGATGGATGTGTTATGGTTGTAGGCAGAAAGTTGGAAAGGTACCTATAAAATAAATATAGAGTGATAACATTTATATCTCTGCGGTACGATAAATCATTGTTAAAACGAAAAATGAATCTGAGTGTTGAATGAAGTTCAGTTTTATTTGCACTGCTCGACCAGATTGGTTAGATTTTTTTTAATTTCGCTGATTTATTTCCTATAACTACGGACAGCAACCCAAACATCCGATATCGATATAGTGTATATTTATATTAATTTTTTTATCAACAATTGCCGTTGAAAATATCTTATATGGGGACGGGCGACGTTTGATTAACAAATAAATCGAGATTTGAATTCCATGCACATATATACGTGTATAGTGTGAAATTTAATATTTTTCTGGAAATACCTATATGAAAAAAAAAAAAAACACAAAAAATAATCGAATTCGTATACGATCTAGGAAAATATGAGACTGCAGTTCGCAAAAACGATCGTATAAAACGTAATGAAATGTGCAGATAGTATAAACAAGTGGGAGAGAAAATGATGAAAAAATATACAATATTGACTACACATTATAAGCAACTAGAATAACATATAGGTGCTCCTAACGCACAAGAAAATATATTATTATTACGGTTCGTCAAACATAAAATTCTTTGTCAATTTATTTTTTCGATAAGAAATCTAATAATGTATCAAAATGTGTGTATTGTGCTAAAAAGAAATTAATACTCGCATACATTACGTGAGCGTAATACATGTCATTGAACTCTTCGAATCCTCGAACACCTCGAACTTTAAGAAATTTAAACAGTTCGAAGTCGGAGATAAAAGTAGAGTTTCGAGATCGAACTCAAATATTTCGAGCAGTTAGAATAATAGTTCGAGCTTAATCGTGTTCAAATATTAGAACAGTATCGGCAGATTTTCTTTTTAATTTTTTGTTATGGCTTTTCTAAATTTTAAAAATTTTTTTTAAACCTCAAAAAAATTCGAAACTTCAAAATAGTTCGAATAAAGTACAAGTTTGATCTAAAATCGTAGTTTTAGTTTGAAAAAAGTTAATGTACGATCAATCGCTAGTTATACACATATGTTTTAAAAACCTTTGATTATAATATATGCACAATATATGAATTAAATATACTAAAATATGCTCTAAAAATAAAAATAACGGTAAAACTCATATTGAAAATGTCTCAAAAACGCACCAAATCCTGAAACATGTCTTAGGAATATAAAATAAAGCAGGTACTATTATGTAGGTACATAAATGCGGTGATTAAGGCCATTGAACGTAACAATTCTTTACACAATAAAGATATTTAAGATGCATAAGTTACAAATTACAGAAAAGTTGAAAGTGGTAAGGTTACACATTAAAATAAGGAAATTATTACATTTGTACAATTTGATGTAGTATGGTTATTTGAGGAGTCTGTTACACTAGGTTGATCAGATGTGTCGCCGAAAGAAATTGGCAGAGATTGGCGTATAAAAGTACACATTATTATATGCTGCGAATCGATATAAGTAATAATTTGTAGAATTCCATAGCCGTATTATAATCTCTGCACGTTTTCCTACCTAATATATTTAACGTCAATTTTAACCTCTTTTCACAATCAACCGAATCTACGAGCGTTTGTGTTGTTCACGGTTTACTGATCGTTATTTTATTCGGCTTACGAAAAAAAAAACAAACTTGCAATTAAAATGCAGGTTTTAATTTTAATTTCCCTTATATTATTGTTGGGAAATGCTTAACGAGAATCTAATGAGATTAGTCGTATATTTAGCATTTACGACGGTGACGTTACAGATATAATAACCCATTCGGATCGTCAGGTAGGTACTTAATTATTAATTTTGACCGTGCAAATTGTTGTCCAATAAAAGCGGTGCACCGAGTGAACCGTTTGAATTTTCGAAAAATCGACGAGCAAATATTATTATGTTTTTTATGTTTGGCTTTATACGGTTTCTAGGACCATCATTCCGTCTCATAACCTGCAATTCCCCAGCTAGTTAACTCTCGATGTATATATCGCCAAAATACTTTTACAACTATTAAAGCGTCTACTTTCTGAACGTCCGTTCCGTGCCGTTCAAAGATCTGTTATCAATATTGGGTTCTAAAAAGACACGAAACAATCACCGTCACTCACCCCTATGCAATTCCTCGATGGTTTCCTTGTACCGGTCCGGAAACTCGTCGTACAGAAACTGTTTGATTATGGAAGTTTTGCCCACTCGGGCCGCGCCCATCATTACCACGCGTCTCCGGATCTTCATGACGGTGCTACCGTTGGCTCCGCCACTGACGTTGCTGCAAGTAGATTCGCCACCCATGGACGCCAACCTCGTTCGTTCTTGCTGTTGGCCAGGCATCGTTTTGTTCTCCCTAAAAACGGTTATATGATAACAATTATAATTGCACGGTCTTAGAAGATACGGTCGGGACACTGTCTACAGGCCATCTCCTCTGTATTAGAGAGGTGGGTTAGGTTATTAGTACATTTTTTTTTTTCCAAAAAGTGCCTCAAAATGAAATTTATTGAGATTACGTTCAAATATCTAAAATTATTAAAAAATTTACGGTTTTTTTATTTTATTCTTAATTTAATGACTTTTTACATGTTATGTTTGTAAAACAAATAGATGACAATATAATTATTTATTTGAATTAATTATCATTATAATTTTTTGACCTAACCCCAAAACGCACATAGTTACGTTATTGAAGAAGCAGATAAAATCTGTAGGTATTAAAACTGACTCATCCCTAGGCGGTCGCGTTTGATTTACCGGTGAACTCGTCAATAACTTGCTGAATAACACTCAATTTTTTTGTAGATAGTTACGTTGTTTTTCAGTGTTGAAACGTATCACACGTATATCGCAATAATATTCGATAATCGATTGCGGCTTATAATAAATATAACTATTTGTTCAACAATGTTGTACAAGTTTTAATTTGGAAATTGTGCATTCACGCGCATTGTTTGTTTTAAAATATAAAATAGATTAAAATGCTTTAATTCGTATTTTTTTAATCCTTTACCTTGCACATATCTTCGTTTTTATTTGTCGATAAAATATAAAATATACAATTTTGGTTAATGATTTTAATATATAGGTACATTATTAATAAATCTCTCCTTCAGAGCGTATACACAGATTTATGCCAGTTTCCCATCTTGTCGTAAAAAAATTTTATAGAACTCTTTGTCAGATTATTATGATATTAATCATTGTCGAATATTAAAGTAAAACCCATCTCGGGTCTGCATTCTTTATACTAAAACACTCGTAAGTAAATTGTGTTACAGTGATGCAAGTCTCAAATACTACAAAACGGAATTCTCTAAAACGTAGTCGATATTTATATTATACTGATATACAGAAACTAAAACCATATTAACTGTTTTTTTTTCTGGTTTGTTTATCAGTTAATAAAAAAGTAGTAGACCTTTCGGGGTGGTTTTATATTTTTATATAAAATATATAGAGAGCAAGAAATAAATCGTTGCATTCGAAAAACGATTTTAAGCAGAGCCCGGCACTGCATAGGTGTATTGGGAATACAATGTTCAAAATCCCGACTAAAATTGTTTTTTTTTTTTTTTTTTTTTTGTAAATGAGTAGGTCGTAAATTTCAATGGTTTTTTTTTCGGATGCTTTTACAGGAAGCTATTATTGGAGAAATCGTTAAATAACTCTAAACTATCCAACCGCGTGGTTCAATTACATCATAGAGTATATCTCTATGTACGAATATAAAATCGTCGAATGAAACTCTTTTAGTGTACATAGTCAGAAAGTATTTTTTCGAGAAAAAAAAACGTATACATGTATTAGGTAAATCACTGCAAAACGTATAGATAACTTATCTTTGCGTCGTTAATAATTTAAAACTATACGTACGCATTATGCCGTCAACAATCACATTTTTTATATGCATATAAAAAAAAATTGAATAATATATTTTTAGAATGAAATTACAGGTAATTGTGTATAAAAATAAAAATTATTAGAATTGAGACGATTTGACACGTGCGCGTCAGATTTTATCGTAATATTATTTACCGATAGAGTTGTCGTGTATAGGTATACATATTATATATTACCGGAAATGTTGACAGTTTAGGAAGTGATGATAATTCTTAATACGGTAAGGAAATAAAATCATTGCTTAGGAATCGTCATAATTTCCGTAGTTTATTAGGCATCACGCATCGCTTTCCAGCTCATCCTGGTGTAGGATCAATTGGTTTGTCGATAGATGAAATTGACCCTTTGAAAAGCGAAGAAGACGTATTGAATGTATTTTGAAATCAAAAGATGACGAGTAAGCCGAAGAAAACGAACTGTGTACTAGCGACTTATAATTTTGTAGAAAACAAAAAGCATAAAAAAGTTAAATATTTAAAAATAACTATGATTAACAGTCGATCAACGAAACGAAATATACTTAATTTCAATAATATATGTAAAGATACAATTTGCATTCAAAATGATATATTTATCCTTCATTATAATACAATATATTCGAAAAAAAATAACTCTTCTGCTGAAAGGATAAAAACATAACATAGATAAATCAAGCACTTTTTTTTTTACAAATATTGTAGGCACTGAGAGTAGACTTTTGAAACACATGCTGTACACGAGATCGGAAATAAGTAATTGCAAAGCAAAATTATTGCACCACATTATTGTTATAGAATCGGCAGGTTACTCGAAAAAATCGATATCACTTTGGGAGGCGACTACTAAAAATAGAATTTTGGGAGCACAAGAATATACCCGATGCTATTGCAAAATAAAATATAAGACGAACAGATGTGCTTGTAAATCAGCATCTAGAATTTGTAATTCGAAATGTCACGGATGTTTGCCGTCAAAAAAATAAATATTAACAAATGCCAAGAGACCTTTTTTATTGAATTTTGGATCTAGATGCTCACGAAGAAAGTTGTTATTCGATTATTAGTAGTTTTCATAATAATTGGGAAAACCGGAAAAAAGACAAAAACTTAAAAACGAACAAATTTACAGCGTACGATTTCATTATTTTCAATTTTTACGCAAGATGTTTTCTACCAGAAATATTGCTCCTATGGAAAAACAACAAGGTACCTTTTTTTTGTTGTCTTTTTAATCTTATCGTTCGCTAAGAAAATGGTTTTTTTGATAGTTAGGAAAAATCAGAAAAAAACGTTAAATGAAAACCTAACAAATTAACCACACGCCGCGCCGTGGCGTTACAATTTTTTATTAAATGTCTACGCTTTATATTTTCTATCAGAAATATTGCTTCCATAGAAAAACAACTGGAGATCTTTTTTGTTGAATTTTTAAACAAGTTAGTTACCAAGAAAGTAGATTTTTTTACTTTCTGTGTAGTGTTTTTAATAATTGAGTAATACAGAAAATCGTAAATATTACGGCCTCACAAAATATGTATAACCGAACTTCGCTCCGAATCGTTTTTCGTTAGTATTTATTTATCGTTACTTACAGGAATAAATTAAATTAAATAACTTTATGTATCCTACCTTCCCGACTAACCACCAACAACAGTATGGTACATCCGTCTTTAGTATCAGTTTTTTTTTTTTTATTTGAAAGGAGAAAAACATTTTAGAGGTCGCATTGAACTCCGATTTTTGATTAATGTATGGATGTGATGTTGGAAAAAAATGATAAAAATAACAAACATTAAAATTTTTAAGACTCTTTCAAAGGAATATTTGAGTTTTGAAAATCGGAGTTCAGTAGAATTAGATAAACCTAGCTAACAGTATAGTAGAGCGTGAAAGAGGGGGGGGGGCGATCGCCCTATAACCCCCACCTTTTTAGATTCGCTACTGGTTAAACGTAACCTAACGCATCATATATAAATATATTGGATATGGGTATACATGTGTTAAAAATATTTATCAAATATGACTGTTGTATCCAAACAAATAAAATGGTACGTGTTAATATGATTTAAAGTAACTTTACAATTATTATGTTTTACGTTTTAGGTACTTAAATATTTATTTTATTTCTAAAAACCTAAGTTACTCTTATTTAATAATAATCGATTCGTAATTCGTATGCATTCACATTTTAATACAATACGAGCGTTAATACAAATATTTCGTGTGTTTTTGATGGGAATATTAAAATGTTAGGATCTGATTATCCAAGTAATCAAATTATTACTGATAACTGAGAATGAAAAGAAAAAGCAATGAAGTAGGCACTAACCACTTGTATTTATTAATATAAAACTAAAAAGTACAATCACGACAAATATATTGTAACAAAATATAAGTGTGTTTTGTAATCAAAAGAATTTTTTTTCAATACGTATTTTATTACCGATGCAATAAAATCATTTAACTACACGATGTGTTGTCCAGAAAATATACTCTTTGAATTTTTTATAATAAAAACTAATAAAAAAAAAACCAGTGACCATTGGCCTGCAAATATTTTTATTGCTGTTTTTTTCGATTTTTCCTCGGGCTTACGTGTTGTATAGGCTATTGGACCCAAGTATAGGTAAAAGAGTTTTCGGGATCATTTTATTTTCATTCTTAATACTTGCGTACGCCTTATATCCGTATTATATTTTATTTTTACTCGAAATTCGGAGATTATATTCTAAAAGTATATTATACTTCTTGTTATAGTATATAACAACGTCATAGGGTACTTATATTAAAAAGGTTCCTTATATTTGAGATAAATACTGAAAAAAAAAAATCAATCACTTTTTATTAAATCAATATTATTTACCTAATTGAAGTTTATTCGTCCAACAACAAATCGTATTTAATAATAATCGATCAATGACCCAGGAAAAGAAGAGGGAGATAGTCCAGAGCTTTGAGACTATTATTAAATTCTTGAGTTACATTTGATGAAAAAAAATTTCAGTTGGATAATAATTGAAGGTAAAATATTGTATGTACCAGTTAGAGGATAATGCGGTCCACGCAGAAGCTGTAGAGGAGAGGTTTTTGTTCTACAGCTACAGTTCTTTACTGAACAATATTCAAAAATATACTGCTATCATTATTTCCTTGTGTTCTTCAATTCATAATTCGTATATACAAATACACAATATTCAACGTTCGATCATGCGAAACTCGAGAGTAATGAGGAAATTCGTAAAACTATGGGAAACGTGTCCTGAAAACGCCATTAAAATTTCCGGTGTTCTTGCAGAAAGTGACACCGGAGGCGGTGGTTCGAAATTTCTAAATGTACAAGGGACTTTTCTTTCACGCACAGTATGTGTGATGAATATCGAATATTTTGACTCGTCAAACGGTTTCAGAGATTAGCCAGGCATAATAGTAATGTGCATAAGAAAATTAATATTTCGGACAGAGAACGTCAAGAA